TCCGATCAACTCTTCCAATTATTATTTTTTTTAATATTTACAAATTACAGTCTAAAGAGATGAATCTGGAAAGAGATAAGCAAACCTGCAACTTGGATGAGTAATGCATAGGGGATAGTCTTTTCAAACTTTGAGTAGTAACTGTTCTTCCATTTGCACCAGCGTTTAGAGTGGATTTCAAGCATTTGTGTTACAAGACATCTTGCAGTTTCTGTATCCGCAGGTGTGTTCAAGCTTCTAATTTCCCAAGTGGATGCTGCAATAAACAAAAGGTGGAATGTCACAAAAACTTGACCATAACAGTTAGGCAACACGAGACCGACAATACCCAAGGAAACTAAATGAAATTAAAATTTGAGTCAAGAGTTAGAATGACATATTATTGAATCAATTGGAATAAAAAAAGAAGATACTGTATACATGATATTGAATGGACAGAAAAAAGAACACAAAAACATGCATAAAGTATACTAGAGCGACACACTAGCACAATATCTTGCATTTTATGGTTTCATATCGGGCAGATAACCAAATCTGTGGAGCATAGAGAATTTCTCCAAAGCCTCAACGATTATTTGTCAACAAGAACCTGAGCTTCAGTTCTAGATTTCATGGGCTTGGTTCTTAAGGTAAATAGTCTCTCAAACAATTTTAGGGGTTCTAAAATTGCAAGTAGCCAGTGCTCATATCTAACAGAATTTATGGATACTAAAGTTGGAAAATGAAAAAAAAAAACTGAAATAGTTACATATATTCACCAATGAGAAAATCTTACGAGTAATTTCCGTGCGTCGATATCCAGACCTTGGAGGTCTTTGCTTGTGTGTTGCTGGAAATTGTAAGATTGCTGCACACACAAATATACCATAAAAGAGAGTCAGACACAAACTCGATAACTAAGAATTTGTTTTTGCATGAACAATGAGAAATCAGAGCCCTTTCTAAGATCTTTAGAAAAATTCCATAACTAGACTCGAGGTCACATGCGATTAGATCAGCATATGAAACACACATCAGAGAGAAGTAATCCATAATTAACATTTATGGATGGAAGGGGTGTACTGCGACAGAGATTTTCGAAATCAGTAACTGTGCAGCTAAGAATCTAGGCAGATGTTCCTGTGGCTACTCTTTTTGGGTAAATAACCGGTTTCACTATGACGACTCGTTGAGCAAGAAATAAATTGTGGGATAAGACAAATCTTAGTTTCAGAAGTTCTAATCTAAGAACAGTTGTGCATAGTAATCTTCATATTATGCAGCTAGAATACAATATCTTTGGGTCTATGCAGAGTCTTAAAGGTGGTATATAATATGGTGTAACACAAAACATGACAATAATTGGTGGTATATAATATGGTGTAACACAAAACATGACAATAATTTTGACCTGGCATCGTAACAAAAATCTTGACTATTTAATCCCATCTTTATATCATGGACCTACAGCCTGGAGAATACAATAGCCATAAAGGAATAATGCTCAAATGATCAAATCAATGTGATCTTTGTGCATAGTCCTTACAACAAAGCTGATATAAAAAACGATATGTAATAAAATTCACAATCTCTACTCACTGTATGTTCCATCTTGCCCACGGAACCATTGCCTAGAGAAAATAAAATCTCTATTTGATTGCCATCTGCAAAATATACAATATGAGCAATAAATATAAATGCATGACGAAGACAAACAACTAAAGCCATCCATATGTTTTGCTCACAAATTTCCATGAACTGACCAGGTACATTTCATCTGATCGATGAAAGGTATATGAAGAATTAAGATAACTCTTATTTACTTTAAGTGAAGAATATGTCACTCAGGCAAATCAGAAATAAAATTGGGCAACATACCGTGAAAGATACTTAGGATCATATGTGCAGTAAACAACATCATAGTTGCCATCATATGAGTCTACCAGTTCCAGATCACCTGTAAATGCATCCCACCTGTGTGGATAATTAGAAAGATCCCAAGTAACAAATGCAAAAAGTATCTTTTCGAGGAAATGAGCTTACTCATATCTTTGATGCTTGTCAAGTTTCAAAATCACTTCGAAAACAGCATCTGCATTTGCTTCAACTACAGCAACTGCTTTTACAAGAACCCCTCTTCCAGCCTAAAAGAAAAATTATTTAGTCAATGCCGAGGGTGGCTACGGTCACCAATTTCAAGCATTTAAGAAAGATTTACTAAGGACATTCCTATGGTCTAGTAGACTGCTAGTTGCAGAATAAATTTTGTCACAAGGCACAAATATTCTTCCATTTTCTTGAACCCTTATAATTTTAGAGAATCGAGAACTCAGTTGTAATATCTGTACTCCTATTATTAGCTCACTACAAAGAATTACCATCTCGGCAATTATGGTTACACATATCAGCCAAACATTCCACTCTGAATATAAACTAAAGCCTCTCATGCATGTCAACAAAAAAACAAAAAAATCCAAAGGTAGCCTCCATGAGAAAAGTACCTAAATTTATGATATGGACCCACCTCATACAAGATCCAAGAAATCCCCAAAAACCACTGGGTACTCACTTAATCTAATAGGAAAGGGAAGAAGCCCATTATTTTTTAAGCTATAAATCAATCCTGCACTAGGTCGACATGGGATCACAAAACCATGTTTTCATAAATGAAATCTGCGAAGGCACGCTATGAGATCAACCCTTGCACACCATGCACCATTGCATGGGATTATGGCTATAATAACAATTAATAAAGCCCTATCCTCTACTAGGTCTGAACCAAACCATTCTTAATCAATATCGAATTATAACAATTTCCTTCTGAATATTTAAGGATTGGAGTTAAGGAACTAAGTTATATATGTCAAATACAATGAATTTGAATAAGATTGCGAGTTAACCAGATTGAATATTACAAGTGGCACACACTAGATGCTACCTGCTAAAAGCACATATACCTTGTAGTTAGCTACATCTTCAAAAATCCTAACGCCTGCAAACAAAGGAGGGAGTATACTAAGAGAAAGTGCCATGATTAAATAAATCATAAGAACAGCCTTAGAGTTTAGGCCTTTGTGGTTTGAAAACTCTTATGACGGAAGGACTAGTAACCTTCTCACGCCACATGACTTACTGATTGACAAAGATAAATAATGGCTGGGTTCCTTCTATCCGAGCATTTTTCTATCATTTTGGTTATCCTAAGTTCATTACAGTTGAGATAGTTGTCAGGTATTTTAACCAAAAGGAGATACCAGAAATAAAACGCCCTAACTGTACTTACTGCAGGTTCTTTGGATAATAACGAAAAGCAATAAGCTCAAAATTTACAATTTGTCAACCCATCATATATCCAGATTCAACATCTATTTCCAAGCGTACCATTGATAGTACGAACACATTTCCATTCATGTGCTTCAATTGCATCTCCATTGTCACCTTCATAGAAACCATCTCCCCTACCATCGTTAACCAAGCTAGAGGATTGCCTCAAAAGTGTTTCAGGACCTGTCAAGGTCAAGAACACTATCACACTTCTTCGCTTTCAGAGGGAAACAATGTGAAAGGGAAGGAGTCCTACCTAAACGAAAGGGGACAGAAAGAAAAATGAAATGAACACTAGAATTTATTTTCCATAACGACGGGAGTCCCGTTTGCACACCCAAAACCTATGTTACAGCGAAACTTGTTCAACGTGTAAGACAATAGAGGCCATACTATTACGCTAGGTGATAAATAATATGCCAGCTTAGAACCTCTCTCCTCTGTATGAATGTAGATCGGTAGAGTTTCTACATGTGAAAGTATTACATGGTGTCTAGCACATCTACACATGACAAAAGAAGCATTCTAAAGCACTAAAAATCAGACGGCTTACATGGCACCTTACCTTGCCAAATCTTCATAAGCTTTTTTAACCCACGAGCATAACGCCTAACTCTAGGCCGATGTCCTTCCAGATCGATGCTTTCACAAGAAAAAAAACAGTGAACCAGGAGATTTTGTATAGTATCAAACGGTACACTTCTGCCATTGGAGAATGCAATGTTGAAAACATGAACCGCAGACCATATCGACGATATCACAATGATATTCAGGTCAATGAACCCTTCATGAAAGAGGCATTCGTTCTACCAAACAATCTACAATGTGGAATTAGTCCATCACTTCGATAATTCCATATGATAAGTCGCAAAACATGATCTCCTCAATTACTAACAAGAATCGTGATTGCCACAAAGCTAGATCTAAGAGATTATAATGGAATTAAGATCGTACTCAGCTTCCATGTTTAATTTATTTCTTGTGCTTCCTCCTCTTGTCAGCTCATATTCACCCTTCATAAAAAGAAAAGCACTAATCAGAAGAAAATAAACGAGCTAGAGATACCACCCCATCGTAATCACTAAACGAATTATCCATAGATTTTGGCTAAGCATTTCAGTTCCAAAAAACCGAAAATGGTAACATGATATTAATAGAAAGATGATGCTTTTAGAGAGTTCAAGCAGTTGAACTTATTCTTTTGGTCCTAAAGTCTTATTACAACACACTACATTAAAAATCAATTATTCTTTCAGCCCCAAGTATAATCACAACAAGCTTACATTAAGCATTCCAGCTTTAAATAGCAGAAAAATGATAACATGACATAAATAAAAAAGATAATGGCTTTAGGCTGAGTTCAAGGCTTCAAGCGTTTGGTACTTATTTTGGCCCCAAGTCTAATCACAGCAAGCTTACACTAAAAAGCTAAAACAGTTCAACCACAATCAACAAAACTAATTTCCAAAAGAGTAATCGTTATATGCTTCATAACTAAAAGAACTTCAACAGAAAAGGAAATCTCTGTAAGACTTTAGAAAGTCCGAATCATTACCTGCTGTTTAGCATGCTCAAAAGCCTCCAACCATTTGCGGGCTTCCCCAGCAGTAGGACAGGCAATCTTGAAGTGCAGATTTCAAAAAAGGAAAGAGTTAGGGTAAGCGAGTAATACTTAAAGAAACAATCTAGATCCCAACGAATGCACTTTAAGGGCAGTAGAAGATTTAACAATCAAAATCTTAATATTTATTGTATAAATGGCTTGCTGATCCAAGGCAACAAAAGATCTTAGATCTATGGTGATCAAGGTTACGTTTCCGAGAAGTGAGAAGTGACTGATACCACATGCTCATATATTAATTTTCTTGGAATAAGACAAAAGTAAGTCAGACTCAACATTCATTGTGTCAAGCTCTGAATCCACAACAAACTGTATTTCACAAACCCAAAGAGGAAGAGATAAATGTTCCTAAATCAAGATATAATGCCTACCGAGGAAAGCAAAAAAATAGACTTTGTAAAGAGGATTTTCAACTTACTTCCCCTTTTTTTGTTTCGTCCAATCGGTTATAGAACCTTATGACATAGACATCCTACAATTATAACAGAAAAAGAAGTTAATTATTATACCTGTTTCATTTCTTTTCATTCTGTCATCACTAAGAATGTGCTATGAAATGTGTGAAATAAAAAACACAAAATTAGGAAACAAGTGAAGTCTTTAATACTAGTTATAGTTTACCATAAAGTAAAAGATTAAGAGTATTACCCCGTGATTAACTTTGCGGCATCCCAGCTCTTCTATCATCATTGTGGGTCCTATGACACCCCTCCTTATAGGTTTCTGGACCAAAAATGGGTGGAAAACAAATCAAATTAATCAATGGAGACAAATGCATTGATCACAGACATCGTAAATCTTCAGACATGCAACAATTAAATCAATGTATTGGGTGCAATTTCGGATGCGGAGAAAGGATAACAACTTGGTATGCTTTGTTCCGTGAACAAAGAGCCGAAACTGACAAGACTATAATCCCAACAAAGCAGGTACGAAATTTTTTCAAACAAATTTAGAGCACGCCTGCACAGTTTCAGAGATCTCCTAATGCTACCGAAAAGCTGTGATGAAGGATCCTCAGAAAGAACTTGCTTTCTCTGAAATTTAGTTCCAAGGTTCATGTTATCCCATTCTTTTTCTTCTTTCCTTTTTACCCTCTTCTCCCTCCAGAGAGGAAAAGAAAATATATCCTAAGCATTCAACTCAGAAAATGGAGAAACTAGAACACACAAACTAATCCCCCACAATTCCATCCAGCTTCCAACTTCATAAGCACCCTACCTACAACAAGCTTAACAGAAAATCCTGCGTACTCTGGCCATGTTCCTTAGCAAATCGGACAGCACTCTTGCCTGTTACAATTTGCAAACCTAGCCAAGCAGATATGAGGTGTTTTCTAAGTATTTTCAAAAGAACATGACTCAGTACAACGTTTCACTCTAATTGCAGCGCCTTTATTCTTGTTCTTGAGGCATGTGAAGGGACTGCGGATTCCACCGCATCCATAAACACCCATCAACAAATGGATCGTCCAATACGCATATTCTTAGTCTCTGGGCATGACACACATTGAACCACTTAGCTTAAATCAAAGCTCTAGAATCCACGATCCATTAACAAAACTCCATAAACACAAGAATCAACATCAAAAAAACAAGGAAACAGAAAATCGAAACGGAGGAGAGAAGAAAACCATACAATGCCGGGGTTCTCGTGAGGATTCCTCTTGTACATCTCCACATATTTCCCTCTTATGAACAAGAACCTCAGATGACAGTACTCATGCCCGATCGAATTTGTTCCCAAATGATAAACCCGCCCGAAATACTCGAACACCCCTCCCTCTCCTCCTTCGCCGACACCAGAACTGTGGCCGATGCTGCTTCCGCCATCATTCCGATCGCCGAGAACGCCGCTGCTTCCGAGATTTCCCGACACGCTCTTCTCCGATCCGTTGGCAACAACCTTCTTCGACGCCATCTCCTCCGACATCACCTCCGGCGATCAATTCGCGCGTGAGCACGATCTGCAATCAGATCAGACACTGTGCTTTTTTTTTTTGGTCTGTTCTTCGCTTGGGAAAATCACTCTAATATAGCAAATGTGTGGCACTTCAGTGATACACCCAAAAAAAAAACAAATTTTTTTTTTCAATTCTATACCACTTTTAGACAACTTTTAGACTTAATAAGTTCGAAATAATCTTTTTTTTATATTTTTTACGACTTTATTACTACGATTATTATATAATTAATATACGACTAAAAAAACAGTATTTACGACCATATAACAACTAAAGTTTCTGTAAACAATTAGATATATTTTTTGTCACCTCATTTAGAATCAATTGCAACTGTATTTAGAATCAATTACGACTTTGCAATTATAATTACACGGTTTCATTAAGGGTAATATCGTCTTTTCGATAAAAATTTAATGGGTTATAATTTGGTGGCCAGAGATGCGTGCGACACTTTGGGTACATCTAAGTGATTTACCCTCTTCGCTTCCTTTTTTTTTGTTTTGTCCGTTCAGAGAATAGGCGGAATAGAACCATGATCCAATCCTGACCGTACACGTCAGCGTTTTGAAAAAATAGTTAGAAAATATTTTCTTCGAACTGGGACCGTACACGTAAGCATTTTAAACGTTTCGGTCTTCATCGTATTCTGCATGCATCCGTTGACCATCCATCATCCACGGATTATCAACTTACACAAATTTAATTCCTAACCTGCAAATTAATTTGTTTATAAAATGATGATTATTTAACGAATTATATATTTTAAAAATAAATATTCATAACAAAAGGTGGGATAAAATTTCAAAAAAATTTATAATTGTATTTGTCGACTTTATATATATATTGATCCTAAATATATGACTTTTGTAAATAAATATTTTTTGGAACTTTTAAAAATATCAACTGCTGTTCCATGAATATCAAACAGTTTAAATAAATAAAGAAAAGTAACTGATCAGATGCAAATAATTATTTTATTTTATGGTGGTTGCATTGCACGTATACTTTGCAGAAGTATAATTGTTTATATTCCACAAATAAATAGTGAATAATAATAATAATAATAATAATAATAATAATAATAATAATAATAATAATAATAATAATAATAATAATAATAATCATCTTTATTTACGAAACTATACGAGTATACGAAGAAGGCCTGCAAATCTTCGACGAACCAAAAAAAATCATCGAAGAAAAAAAAAAGAGCAATGGCAGCTGTGATTCTTCATCCTCAGCACCTTTTACGACGTCGTTTTCACCATGAAACCCTAGCTCCTCATCCTCGCTCTGCTCCAAACCCTATCTCTCACTGTATTCACCATACTTCCTCTGTTACGACGGCTCGCCGAAGAAATCGCAGTCCACTGGAGTCTCGATCCGCAGGCGTCGGAGGCAGCGGTGGTGGAGGAGGAGGATCTCGATCGCGGTGTACGGCGGAGAATAGCAAATTGGTCATGGGGCAGGTGAAGATCCTCAAGCGCGGCGAGACGTTGAGTGAGTTTCAGAACAAGGAGCGTAACCGCGACAGCGAGAGTACGAGTAAGACTACGAGACGGTCTGTTATGAGGAATAACGGAGGAGGTTGTTCGGAGGATTTAGATCTGGTTTTGGGGTCCACATGTAGAATTGGACCGGATCCAGATACGGTGACGAAGCAGATTAGGGATTGGAAGAGCTTTGAGATCGTTGCTGTAGGTTTCGCCGGAGCTTGCTGCTCTGTTTCGCCGCCGCCGAGCTCCGTTCCTATACCGGATTTTTTGGGGAAGAAGAACAATCTGGTCGCTTAGATGGGTTTACATTGATTGAAGAAGGAAGAATCTGGAAACTTGGGCAAGTCTTTGGTCTTAAATCTGAAGCGGAAAGATCCTGTGAGAGGAAGCGATGTCGTTTCCCTCTACAAGATGCCATTTTTGTCTGACAACATTGCTGCAGAAACACCTTTGTCGCTTATCTTCGCATCGTCTATTCAAAGCTAGTTACTTTTTCTGCACCTGATTGTTCAGCCATGGATTAAGGCGTATGCAATCACTGTCATGGAATAGACATTGGCTTACGACTTATATGGGTGTGTGTTTGGTGTAGTTCTTAGTACCTTTGTGCTTCTTCTTTGTGGATACTCTTACATCCTTATGCAATAAATTTTTTTTTCAGTTACTAATTCCATATCTTGCTTGGATTCTGCTTGAGCTGATTGAGAGCCTGTTCTGTCTTTTTGCCGGTGGAATTGAGCTGATAATGTTGGCTGACGTGAATTGTTTATCATTTTCATTCATGTTAAGGCTAGATAAGTGTATTTATGTGTTAAAGAAGCAAAGCTGCCGGCTTTTGCATCTGTATACTGTTACAATTGACACAGTAGTAGATCTCTTTAGGAACTGAACTTTGATGCTGATAAAATCTTCATGTTCAAACAAGGATATAATATATCATTGCCGGCTTTTGCATCTGGTTTCCCATCTCAAGAAAGTGTCAAGACCCTCTGAATCTGATGGTACATGATCCTTGTCTTGTTTCTCTTTGTTATGGCTTCTGTTTTTTACGTTGAACATGTCATGCTCTGCTTGCAAGGTCCTTGAACATTTTCTTTTCTTCTGGTTATATTCTTTCCTTTTGTCACATATGTTTCTGTGCTGATTGTTCGGATTTTCCTTCAGAAGCTACATTCGTACACTAAATGGCGTTTCTTTAGGTAACCTGTTGGCTGGTATTAAAATTTCTTTACTGAAGCAAACAGAAGACACCGAAGGAAGGAAAACCCGAAATCGAGGTTGCGAAGTTTGAAGTGTTGTATCTTTTAGAGGGAACAGTTTGGTGCTAAGCCTAAGCCTAAGCTGTTTGAACTGAGTTGCTTTGAACGTTGCTGCTCTCATCTTCATCATTTGCAGGTAGTACCTTCTTCCAGAACCAATGTTTCCTCCACAAGAGTATCATCTCTTCAATGGGCACGCCTTTGGTCTCAGGCAATAGGAAATAAACGAAGATGGTCATCACACAGACCCAACCGGCAAAGAAGAGGAAAATGCCAAACTTAAATGCACAGAGGAGAGCAAGAAAAGCTTGAGCAATGATGAAAGTGAAGAGAAGATTGACAGCAACGGTAATGCTCTGTCCAGCTGATCGAGTCTCCAGTGGGAATATTTCACTCGGGATGGTCCAACCAAGAGGTCCCCACGACCATCCGAACGCTAGAACGAAGAGGCAAATGAATACAACCACCACGACAGAATAACCCTTTGATAGCTCTTGGTTGTCTCCGAATTTCACTCCCAAGATCACTGAAACTATGACCTGTAATCCAGTAATGGCAAAACCATCAGAGGGCATACCAGATGATGAGGTAACTGTATGTGTTCCATTTATATGCCAAATATAGATGAGACATAAACATTGGTTGATTAAGAAAACGCCCTACATCTTTTGCAAGGTTTGTTGTTTTCAGACATGGAATATTGCCATTGAGATGAGGCTTGTACCTGGCAAATGATCATCTGTAATCCGCCGCTGATGAGAAGGGCTCGTCGCCCCAACCTGTCTACTGTTGCTATGGAAATCAAAGTGGAGGAACAAAGAACGGCTCCTGTGAGGGCTGATGAGTAAAGTGAAGCGTTTCCTCCAAATCCCAAGCTCTGGAATAGAATGGGAGCGTAGAAGAGGATGGAGTTTATTCCAGTGAGAATCTGAAACATGGGCATGAAAATAGCCATGACCAGTTGTGGCCGGTTTCTTTTCTGCAGAATGTTCCTGAAGGGATGCTTGATAGAATTCGCCAACTCGCTAGCATCTATCATGTCCTGAAACTCTGCATTAACGTCACTTGTTCCTCTGAGTTTTTCCAGCACTCGTCTGCCTCTCTCTGTCAACCCTCTCTCGATCAAGCTGTTGGGAGTCTCGGGAAGGAAAAAACCGCCCACTGTCATCAGAAAAGCGGGAAATGCTGCCAGACCAAGAGAGAGTCTCCAACCCCAAGGCTTGAGCTTTTGTGTGCCGAAATTCACCATATTGGCCGTGAAGATTCCGAGAGTCGTGGCCAACTGAAACATCATGTTTAGACCTCCTCTCAGATGGGTCGGCGCTACCTCCGACAAATACAACGGGACTGCCTGCAAACCAAACCCAACAGGTACATTATAAGATTCAACTGAAAACAGTTTGATCTTCTGCTTTGGTAATGACATCTTTCTTGACAGACCTGATTTCCGAATCCAATGCCCACACCAAGCATGATCCGACCCAGAAGGAGCATTTCTAGGTTCACTGCTGCAGCATTCAGGGCAGCTCCCACCAGAAAACTGATCCCACCACAGATGATACTTGCTCGGCGGCCATAGTTCCTGGTGATAGGAGATGCAACGAGAGATGCAACCAGACCAGCAAGGTAAAGAGATGATGTGAATGCTGCGAGCCCTTGATTATCGTACTTGCAGTAGTTACTTTCATGGGCATGCTTCTTTTTCTCATACACCGAATGGAAAAACTCCTCCAGGAATTCATCCATGGACGTGACCCCTCCTGTTAGTTAATAGAGATCAGTCACACACACATATATATATATATATATATACCCAATTGCCATTTTCTACTCAAGATTCATCTGAATCTTCCCTAGGACTCAAAACAAGATTCTTTTTCAAGAATCTTAAAAGACAATTCTCATCTGCAGGTTGTAGAAAAGGAGCAAAAGGACAAGTTGCAGAACCTGAGATTCCGATATCATAGCCAAATATGGATCCTCCAATGGCTGCAACAAGGCAAGCTATGATGACGAACCATGTGACCTTTCCTTGGTATTGCTCTGCTCTCTCTTTGGCCACGCCTGCTGGACCGAACGAGCCACCCGCCATTTTCTCCTCCTCTCTTGTCTGGTTTGCGGTTCACAACCCCAAATGCTTGAGATTTGGATTTCTTCTTACTGCAATTGTTCTGTCTTCCCCATGGTTGACTTAACACAGAACTGCTCGCAACTTACTCCCAAGTTGGTTTTACAATAATTCCTTCAAAAACAAGAAGAAATTTTTTTTTTATAAAAAAAATTGTTCAAAGACTTTGTGGAGAAAGAGACTGGTTCTTCAAGAATCAGGGGGTCTGTATGAATTTTATATATATATATAAATTTACTGAGTTTAGAGGTTGAGAGAGATGGATGGGAATTTTGTTTGGATTTGAGGTTGTCGTTTTCTTGACCTTATCTTCAGGAAATCTCGTGTTTGGTTTGCATTTCGCGTTTTGCTTGCTTGAATTAAATACGTAGTTTCATGATTAATGCTTTTATGGCAACAAGATCGATAAAAATGGTATGTTTTTTAAATAAGAATCCAATTATATACAATTTTTCTGCAATAAAAAACTTCCTTAATTCTGAAATAAACCGAACAGAACCAACACCTTTTTTAATAAAGATCGCCTTTTCTTAATACGATTTTCGGTTCGAATTTCTCCAAATTCAGCAATTTTGGTGTTAAAGGCTAGACGTTTATAATTTACTGAAACAATCGTGATTTTAATATTTTGTAAGGATTTGACAATTTAGTAGAGGATTCAGATTTTTTTTTTTAAAAAAAAAAAAGGGTTAAAGAGTTCTATAATGAATTTAGTTTCACCAGAAACTTGTGTTTTTTATTATTAAATTTTTGTTTTGTGTTGCAAACAAATACCAAATGGTTAGAGTTTTCCGGAACTTGGAATCTAAAAATGAAAATAAAATGTAATCAAAATCTTATATATTTACTTTTTTCTAAAAACCTGAATTTAATTTCCATGACTTTAATTTTTAGATTTCCATGAATTTAAGTTTTTAAGATTTTTATATTTTATAAAAACTGTAAAAACTGTAAAAACTATAAAAACAAAAAAAAAACACAATAAAACCAAAAATCCAAAAGGAAAACTGTCACTATTTATGATTTAAGGATAAATTTGTGAATGAAAATGTTTTTTTTCATTTGGCTAAATGAATCTATCGTCACTTTGAAAAGTGGTGACTTCTGCGGGACCCACCTTAAAAGACAGCGGTTTTCGAAGTGACGTGCTTCGATCGATCTGATTTTTTTTTGTCGTTTTTCACGTGGCATTAATGTGAATGCATAAAACAAAGACTTAGTAACCGCCATGGAAATAACCGTCGGTTTTTTTCAGCATTTTAAAATCTAAAACCTAAAATAAAATTCAATTAAATTTTTATACGTTTAACTTTTTAAAAGAAAACATTTCATTGAAAAAATCAAGTAAAAATCATAACTTTATTTTTTTAGATTATTGCATTTTTATAAATTATAAAAAAAACTATCACCATTATTAAATATCGAATTTTAGACTTTAATTATAAATGATTTTTATTTTGAATTTTTTGTTTTAGTTTTTGAATTTCGGTTTTCAATTTTTTATTTTTGGTTTTTGAATTCTATAATATTTGTAAATCCAAAAAATTTAGTTTTTGGTTTTTCATAGATTTTTTCCATCAAAATGGCTTAATTTTATAAAAACAAATGGTAATTTTTTTGTTTTTGGATTATAAAAATTCTAAACACTCCAATCATTCAATACCTTAGTTATTGATTGCAAGGAGATTAAAGTGGAGAGAATTTAAAGCTGAGACAATAATCGACCATAATTATTTATAACAATGAATATTAAGAAACATGGTTTTAAATCCTTATAACATCTACAAAACCGGGTTTGTACGTCTTTGTACCGGACGCTTCTCCCAATATATTTCCAAACCGGATTTAAATCGGTTTTTTTTAATCTATCGATTTAAATCGTAATAACCAAACATTCCAAAATATCGACATGAAAACACGGATAATCAACCTTAAACACGACATTAGAACGCTTAACCTTACCCCTAATCTCATATCTACTCCTCCTCTCCAACACAATCTCCGTACACCAAATCTCTGGTTTAAAGAAACCATCCATCGACTCTTTCCAAAATATCCCCAGATTCCCGCCAGAATTCGCCATTTTTCCGTACGACGAAACCCTAGAGGGTAATGAAACTCCCTTCACCTCTCTCCAGACCGTATCTTCTACATCGTACCAACGTAAAACATTGTCCGGATGACATGAGTACAGCACCTTCTCTACCACGCAACTGTTCTTCCTCAACCCGCAAACGATACCCTCGTCTGCAAATTCTGCCGTACCGTCCATGGGGTCGTAAGAAAAGCATCTCGCGGTTACGAAACGGTAAGCCATGCCGTAAATCTTTCCGTCTATCATCATCCCGTTCGTCAGCGATGAAAGCTTAGCCCTTTCTCGAAACCCTAATTTCGGGCACGACAGCGGCAGTGGCTCCCATGACTGTGTCTTGGGATCGAACACTTCTCCGAACCCCCCCCGCCGATCACGTATATCTTCCCGTCCATGGCGCCGGCGGTGGCGCCCCAGCGCGGGGCCCGCATGCTCGGGAGTTGGGTACACGTGTGAGATCTCGGGTCGAGGAGAAACACGTCCGAGGTTGCCTTGTTGTGGACTGATCCGCCGATGATGTAGATTCTTTGATCCAACACGGTGACGGATGAATAACGTGGAAGTTCGGAAGGGAAGGTCGTGGTCGGGAACGGGACCAAGAGGTTAGAGCCGGACGTTGGTCGGAGGACGAACCACTGAGGGGAATGTTCGAAAGGGATGCGTAAGCAGAAGTAGAGGCAAAGTTCGGTGTGGCCGAGGATTGACCGTGTTGCTTGGAGCTCGGTGGCTCGGGGGAAGCCATTAGAGATCTGAAGCTTTTGCAGACGAGTGAGATTCTCGGCTGGTCCCATCTCGATACTCGGGCCAAGCAGTTCAAAACTACGTCGTTTGGTAGCGATGAAAACAACGACGGTGACGACGGAGTTGATGGTGACGGCGGCGGCGGCGGAGATTTCTTTTCGAGCGGTGGCTCTTCGACGACAGAGGGAGACATGGAGAACAAACCCAATGCGAAAGATTTGGTTTGTTAACTTCTTTTTTTTCCAGGATATATATATATAGAATTTTTTTTTTTGGTGAAAGTCAGGAAACGAAATAATTTTTTTTTTTTTACTTTTCCATACTCTGTTTTGATATACTTTAAACTAGTAAAATTCCATGTACGAATAATTCAAGACCGTCCAAAATATAATATTCCCAAATTCTATAATTTCCCCTTTTCATATTATTTGGAAAAAAAATACAAAATGGAATATATGCAAGATAACATTTTTAGTCAAAACCAATAAACGAAGTAAAGTTTGTGCCATGGGAAAAAAAATAATATCAAGCAATTATTCTTTTTTACTTTTTCATTACTCTGTTTCTATATACTTCAAACAAGAAAATTTCCATATCTGAAAATTAGAGGGAAAAAAATAAAATAAAAAACTTCAACAATAATCCAAGACCTTTTATCATAATCCAAAATTCAATATTTCCCCCTATTTGATGTTATTTAAAATAAAATACGAACTGGAAAAAAATCGGGATGACAAAAATGTAAAATATCCTAAAATATAATAACCCACAATTCGATATACACGTTTTAAATTACATAGAGTACAAATATAAATTTTATAATTGTTAAGTTAATAACAAAACCCTTTACCGAATTTTATGGCAAGTTTCAATGATATATGGGAACTTTCCTTTTGTTTCGCAAAGGAAAAAAAAAACTAAAACTCGATTAATATATAAAATCGACAAATTAATCACTCACTTAGCTCACAGCAATTCTGAAAACCATGGCTTCGATCTCGTCGCTGCCAAAAGATGTCGTTTTGGAGTGCTTAGCCCGAGCCTCGAAACACGACCACCCGAACCTCTCCCTCGTCTCCACGACCTTTCGCTCTCTCGTCTCTTCGTCCGAGCTTTACGCCGCGGGGTTGCTCCTCGGCCGGACGGAGCATTGCCTCTACGTGTGCATACATGTCTATCCCGAGCCGAGCCCACGTTGGTACACCCTCCGTCCCACGAGAGCCGGCGATACGAAATTGGTCTCGATCCCCTCATCTCCCTCCGACCTTCCGAGCAATTCATCGGTTGTCACGATCGGTTCGGAGATATTCATCATTGGTGGATCGATCAATGGCGAGAAAACCTCGAGCTTGCTCGCTCTCGATTGCCGGTCCCACACGTGGCGCCGCCTTCCTAGCATGCGCATGGCTCGAGGTGAGTCGGTCGCTTGTTTGATCGACGGAAAGATACATGTCATCGGTGGTGGGTCGATGGACTTAAACGTGGGAACCTCTGGCTTGCTCAGAGGGTTTAGGGCTTGAAGAGAGACACGCCCTTTGCCGCGTGTCGGAAATCGTCGTGTTCGAGGGGAGCATGTACGGAATGGCCGGTCGGACGAAGTGTTTCGCTTATCATGCGGAGGATGGGAGTTGCGACGTCCACGTACCGGACCCAGACGGCTTGTCCGTCTGGGATCATAGCTATTGCGCAATCGGGAACGTGATGTATTCGTGCGATTATACCGGCGAGTTAAGGTGGTACGACCGAGAAGACGACGAGTGGAGGGACGTGAAGTTCCAGAGACCGCTTCGTAGGCCTCGTCTTCCTCGTCAGTTCAAGCTATCAGATTGTGGTGGCAATCTCGTTATTTTGTGGACGGAATCCTTCAACGTGATTTCCTGCTCGGAGATCACGTGCGAAAGACGCAATCGTAACGAAATTTGGGGGGCGGTTAAGAGCTCTAACGTCGTATTGACGGCCGATTTTTATAACTCCTCGGTCGATATTTTACATTGCCAAGTTGTTACCATTTAAGGGTTTATAGAAGAAAAAAACCCTAATGTGTTTTAAATCTTTACTACAAGTGATTCCGGTTATTGATTTGGTTGCTTATCAAGTGGTTCCGGTTACCGCCATCCATCTCGACGATAGAAAATGGGTATGCTCTATGTAACGAGAGCGCATAAGTACTATTTAATTTGCCATTCCGACTAGGGGTGACCATTTCGATTATTAACCGAATAACCGAGCCGAACCAAATCGAATAAGATATAACCGAATCCGATATCAAAACCGAACGGTTATGATTTTTTTAAACCCGAAAAACTGAAACCGAAACCGAACCGAACAAAAAATAACCGAAAAACCCGAGAGAATAACTGACAATTTCTTTAAAAAATTGAACTTTTTACTAAAACTGAACCGAACCGGAATTTATATAAAAACCGAATGGTTATAGTTTTTCTATAACCGAAATAACCGAACCCGAATTGGTCACTCCTAATTCCAACCAAGTGCAGCAAGAGCGGTCAAAAGGTGAGCTTTTTTTTCTAAATTAAATCAGTATACCATAAATTATATTTTAAAATATTTTTATGTTTTTTTGGATTCTTAGATTATTTAATTTTCTTACAATTTTTAAAAGCTAATTTTATATTCTAAAATATTTAAATTGATGGATGATTGAGTTTACATGGATGTGAATCATGTGATCACTCACTAAAATGGCAGATTATTTGTTTTTCGTTTTTCTATTGATTCAGCAAGTGGGGAACATTTTGGGATTCGTGCCTAAATCACGTGTCTGGCCAATTGGAATCTACCCTTGTGATATTCTTTAAAATATAAATCCTTATAAATACAAATATTTTGAGTAGACATTTTTTTTTTTGATAATCTAAAATTTAACCAATTATATCTTCTAAATAAATGGAAATTCAGATATATTTTTTTGCCTTAATGAACCATAATATCTCTTTTTGGCGAAGTTTAATCACCTTGTGATAGTGATGTAAAACGGGCTGGCTCGGACCGGTCCGGACCGGTTCGTCTCGAGCCAGCTCATTTTTTACTCGGCCCGTTGGATCTGTTTTTTTACGAGCTAGAAAAACTCTGATCCAGACCAAATTGTCTGAACTCCGAGCCGCCTCGCGAGCCAGGCCGTTTGTATCTAATTAATCGAATTTTTTTTAAAATTACATGAAAATTAATCATTTAAAGTCTATATAACAATATTTTGAAGTCATACAATATAACATAAAATATTTAACATAACAATCCATAAAACTATATCTAAATCAAGAAAAATTAACAAAACCAAACCAACATAAAAAAGTGTCATACACCAACAACATCAAAATATAACAAAAAATATACACCAACATCAACATATAATGAATTTTAATTTGCTATATAAACAAAAGAAGTGAAGAAATTAAAGTATGAAACCCTAATATTTTTTAATGTCAGCTCGTGAGCCGGCTCGCGAACCGACTGAGCTAGCCCGGATGGACTCGGGCTCGTCGCGAGCTGGCTCGTTCGGCCCGTTTTTATTTGGTCTTTTATTTTTTTAACCCAACTCGATAAAAAAACGAGCCAACCACGAGCCAGCTCGCGAACCGGGCTCATTTTGACATCACTACCTTGTGATATCCTATGCATTACTTTAATTTGGTAAACTGAGAAAGCAAACAGCCTCCATGGCACAAGAAAATAATAAAGAGATATTTGTGATTATTTTTCTGCCTTTTCTATAATCTAGTATCCCTTAAAACATATGTTTTAGTTTTATTTCAGATTTTGTTTGGGGTTGAAATTATTTAAAGTGTTAAAAAAATTATATTTTAATTTTTCTACTATTTTTATATTTATGTTGAATTCTATTTAAATATATTTTAGAATGAAATAATATATAAAATATAATTAAATATAATCTAATTTAAAAATTGATTAGTATCTCATTAAAATAAAATTTATTTAATTTAAATTGAATATAAATATATAGAAAAGGGAAAACAAAATTTTAAATTTTATTAAATGGTTTGCAAACAAAATCTGAAATAAATAGAATTTGAATGATTATAATTTTTAAAATTAAAAAACGATAAAAATTAATTTAGAAAACTGAATATCTATTCCTAGAATTGAAGACAGAGGAATGTCAATATTATTATGTTCAATGCTAGCTGGTGGTTGGGCAATGGAAAATAAAAGAAGTTGAAATGGAATATTATTTTAAAGATTAGACGAATTTAAAAAATAAATGTTATGAATAATGTTTAAAATAACTAACTTTAAAAAGGGGTGTATGTTTAAATCATATATGCATGTGTTTGAATATGCAAAAGTTTTAATAATCTTGCGTTGACCCACAATAATAAAAATTTAGAATAATTAATGCATATTAATATCTTACATGTATCACATGCATTAATAGAATATCTCCAAAATACTTAGCCTCGATCCAAAACTATAATCTTTGACATATAATTTTTTTCAAATTTATTTAAAAACCCAATAAAACAGAACCTAAAGCATTTGTGTCCTCGTAACATATTTGTATACTGATCTCTTAGTTTTATATATTAAATTGCATTTTATCTTCTATATATGTAAGGTTAGCCATAAACACCTATAATATATTTTTATTTTTATTTTTTAATATTGTATTACATATTATATTATCTTATACAACGAAAAATTATTCAACTAAAACCCATAAATCATAATCGTGTGGCAATCAATTGTATCTAAAACCCATAATGATTAACGACTATGATTACAAAATTTATGCGTACTAATTAGGACCACCTCTTTATTGATTAGAACTTGGAATGCTTCATTAATAAAGAAAACAATGACAATTTCTTTTTCATATTAAACCATAATAACGAAAGACAAAAATAAAAATATCCGATATGAGTGATTAAGATTTTATGGTATGATTAAACCAAAAAAAAAAGATTTTATGGTATGTTTTCTTTCTTTATTAATCTAATGACCAGATTCAACCCACCGATCGCAAGATTTATAAATAGAATTCTATAAATATAATAAAAAAACCGTAAAAACCATCAGAAATTTAATTATTAGATTATAATATCTGAACTCATTTTTTAAAAATCGAATCTTGTTTTCCCAAACATGGATTTCAGTGTTTTACAACGAAAATTTCGATTTCTAAATATCAATTGAATAAATCTTTTTTTTAAATTTAATAGAAAAAACTGATCATAAAAAAAATATCTCAAAAAAAAAAAAACTCTGGCTTGCCGTTGGGTTGCGTGGTTCGGTCAAAACCCCGAAATGGCCGTTTGGTTAGACACGGCTTTTACATGCAGCCGCCACGCATTTCGCCCTTGTTTCCGCTTGGCAACCGAACACGCCCTGGACCCATTTCCCCTATTTAACCTACAAATTTTAAATTTAAAAACAAATTCCGAAAAGCCCCAATTTTGTCTTTTTCTGTAATTTTATTTTAATTTTTCTTTTTTTTTTCTCTAATGAATTCGTAATAATTGCTTCTATATAAAGCTCTCGCACGTCCTTCGTGCAAAACGCCTTCACTGTTCCCTGAGGCCCGAAAGAGTGAGAAGGAAGAAAGGAAAGATTCTCTCTCAGGTGTGTGGATCTTCACGCGCCACCGTACTGGAACGATATGGCCACCGGAGCAGCTGACGGGATGTTCCGAAGCATCTTCGAGGGATGCATCTCCGGCTGCGACGCCGCGATCGAGCGGCGTCCGTACCACAAGAACTGCAGGTGCGCGCTCCATGAGAGATCTCGCGGCGGAGGAGGAGGATTGGGCGGAAAAAACCAGAATCAGCGGCGGATCTGTCGCCACGGGAGGTCGGAGAGCGTGGCGTTCCCGATCAGACGGTCGTGGAGCGAAGGCAATGTGTTGGCTCTGCATCTCGCGTCCTCTTCGTCCTCCTCGAATCTCCAATCGCTATCGTCGTCTTCGTCTCTGTCGAATCTCGCGTCGGCATCGGAATCTCCGTCAGATTCACCGGTTGCGGCGGAAACAGCCGGATCTCGCCAACTCCGATGGACGATAGACGAGGAAGACGACGAAAAGCGCTCGGCTCAAGGTTTGGAATACTGATCTCGGAATCTGCTAATTCGTTGTTATCTTCGTCTGTGGAGCAAACGAATTTTGAATGTTCGATTAGAGATGTTTGATCAAACCAAGGGGAATCAATCGTCTACGGAGAATGGTGTGGTAAATTGGTCAAATCCTTAGGGGGTTGCTTTGTTTTATTTATGTTGTGCGTAAATTCGTAATAATGTTCGTATAATCTTTCTGGTTCTGTTCCATCCGGGGAGAAAAAAACATGTAATTTTTTGTGTTTTGTGTGTGTGTAGATCTCGTACCATAAGCTTTAACCCTAATCCCTAAACCTTCATTTGTCCATTTATTTTATTTTTATAATTATAAGTTTTTGCTGCCATATTGTCTTCTTCTCCTCATCTTCTTCTTCTTCTTATTTGCTGCTTTTGTTAATTATTCTACTGTTGTTGATATAAATTTATTTTTTTAGAAATCACCACATTCGAATTAATCTTTAAAATATATTCTCTTCATTTCAAAATAGATATCGTTTTAGGTTTTATCACAATTTAAAAAAATAGAAAAAAAAATCAAATATATCCTCGTTAACCCATATTATCCATTCATACTCTATTAAAATTAAATATTTTAGTTAAAGATAGAACTGAAGATTTTATTAAAAAATTATTTAGAAAATCTAAAATGATATCTATTTAGTTATAAGATAAATTTTCTAAATGATGTTTATTATGAAATGGAAGGAATATTTTTTTTTTATAAAAAATAAATATTGTTCAAAATAAATGAGTATGCAACATAAGATTAAATAATTATATTTTTATATATTGAAAATTAAAAAAAGTATCTTAAAAATATCAATCATATTTGAGGAGGTAAGGTAGCTAGAAATTGTAAGTTTTGGCTGAACAAGAAAAAACTAGAAACAAAGTCATAATTAATTATAGTTTTCCGTTCCTAAATTGAACCCGTGACACAATGGAGAAAATAAATAAATTGACTTCTTCATTTGTAAAGCCGGCGAAGAAATCGAAGTTGGAATCCACAAACATCGATGCGTATAGAAAATTAAATAAAAAATCGATTAAAAATAGTTGTAATCCTATAATTTGGAATGTGTCTTGTAAATTAAAATTTACAATTTCTTATGACTCAAAGTTATGTGATTTTAAGATATTTTTGCAAATCTTTGTTAAATTCTTAACCTATTTCCATAAAAATACATTCAGCCCATCTTCATTTTGTTTCATGTTTCTTTTAATTTTCATTTAATTGTATTACTATAAATCATAAAATATCAAAGTGAAGTAATTCATAAAAGAGTTTTTTTCCCCAAATCTTGATTCAACATATTCCTTTTAATTTCGGAATAAGTTTTTATAAGCGTATCAACCATTTCTTTATTCAAACCAGATACTTTAACATTGATTTTTTTTTTCTCTTATATGGATTGATACTAATAATTAATTACACATAATTGGAATATACCAAATATTGGAAAAATGAATTTTCTCGGTTTCTTACCGTAGTGATCATTAGATCTTACTTTAGACAAACAAGATCTTTTTCTTGAAAGAAGACAGAAAAGAAAGCTGTGAAACCAGAAGAAAATAAATAAAATAAAATATATTGAAAAAAGAAAGGAAAAAAACTGTTATTTTCAGAGACAGCTAGTCCGACCTACTTTGACTCATCAGGCCAACTAGGACAGATTAATTAAATTCATAATCAGTATCTATTAATATTTATTAATTAATACCTAATTATTAGTTCATAACAAATAATTATAAATACGGGAACTTTCGCGATCTAGTGTTCTTGGGTATCAATTTTAGTCCGATGTACGAAGTCCAGTCCGATCCAACTCGAAAATTAGTAGATTTTGGACCTAAGTTTTTCGGTCAAAAAAAATCGGACTTTTGAATTGGATTGTGGATTCGAATCGGATCGGCCCAGAAACCTGATTTACAAAAGATATAATGCTGACCGGTTCGACCCAACCCGTCTCGATCTGAACCCGAAATATATAGAACCGAACTTCGAGTTTGATCCGAATCTGAAATCTTCGGATCAAGTGTGGATGATCCGCCCCGATTGACACCCTTATAAGTCCAAAATCTCAATTTCCCCTTTGTGACCTCGGAGCATAGAATGTAATAAAGACGATGATTGTCACTTGCCCTAATAAACTTTTTTTTAGATAAAAAAAAAATACATATGAAGGTACAAATATTATATAAATATTATATACTGTGTGGGGAAGTTCTACTGGCCCAGTAACTTATATGGGCCTGTGATTGGGCTATACAATGAAAAGACCAATACTGCAAAGGGTATTTCGGTCATTTAGCGGTCGTCTGACCTCTTCCACGGCGATTTAAGGAAAAAAGGATACAAAGATAATAGTTGCAGAGGAAAAAGAGATGAGTATTGTTTCTTTGAGAAATTTAAATTATTTGCAAGTGAAGTTTTTTCCAAAAGTTTAAGAAGAAAATAAATAAACCGGCAAAAAAAAGGGAAATGTAACTGAATCATCACGACGCCGCGAAAATCTCTATCCCGGCGCCGGGAATCTTCTCCGCCTCCGTCACCGTCGAAGCCTTCGCCGAAGACGGAGGAGAATGCGGAAGCCTGGAGGAGAAGTTCCGGAACGGAAACTGGTTGAGATTCTCATCGTCTCCCTTGTCAAAATTGAGCGAATAACTAACCGCATCGTAACGGAAATCCGTCGTGTGCCGTCGGATATGCCTTCCGCCGCCTCCGCCCGGTCCACCGCCGATTTTTTGGATCAGGCTCCGGCATTTGTCCTGCGACTTCGACAACGACCGCGAAAGCCTCGGCGATTTGATCCTGTTGTGATTTTGATGGTCCCTCGGACTTGGTGTTAAATCGAGATTACTCAATCTGTCGCCGGGAGAAAACGGCAACGGATCATGGTGGTGGTGGTGGTGGTGGTGGTGGATCTGCCGGAAACAACCGGAGATGCAGAGCGTCGATCTGAGTTTCTGTTTGAGAGACGGACTCGTTGGCTCGCTTCCCATTTGGTCAGAAATCGAAGACGACGATTTCTGACCTGAAACTGGATACAATGGAATGTAACGACGATGAAGATGAAGGAGAGATTGCAGAGAGTATGGAATTGGGGTTTGTATATTTGTAAAAATTGTGTTTGGTGATCTTTTTTTTTTCCCAATTTGAAAAGACACCAAATTCGGAGGGGAAGTTTTAGGATTTTCTAAATTTAAACATATATATATATATATATATATATATAATTTTTAAAATGATTTTCGCTTACTAATTACCATTGTGGGAAAATGACAGTAAATATATTCAGTAGTGGTGTGTGTAAACAAAATTTTTTAAATAAATAAATGGTACGTTCGTTTTGTAAATATATACAGTTCCTGTTTAAAATGAATGGTATATTTAAATCCTCTAATTACACACATATTCGAAAATTTAATATCCATCGATATATTCGAGCAACGTAACTCCTGAACAAAATTTTAATATTCGACGGACGAATGTCCATGTGTATCTAAATAATTAACAAAATATCTTTAATTTTATCTATATTTACAAAATTTCCATTTGAAATCATTACGGCATTGTCAGTAGCTTTTTTTTTTTTTTTATAACTCAATCATATGTGGTTTGTAATGGGCATTGAAGCCCAAATTATTAGGAAGACAAAAAATAGAAACAAATGGACCCAAGATGTGAGACTCTTGAGGCCTACGGCCTGTTCCTTTGGTTCTCAATCGACTCTATTTTGGGCCCACCTCTACACACCACATAATAATAATAAATACTATTAAAATTTCAGAAATGGTAAAAAAAAATAATTTCTAAATTTTTCGCTTTATAAATTTATTTCTAAACTTATAAAATATGTGATTATAATTTTTAAATTTAGAAAATGTATCATTATAATTCTTAAATAGATTTATGTGTCACCGTCCCAATTAATAAATTTGAGAATTATAATACAGTTTTGAGAGCAAATTAAAAGTCTCTCACCACTTTAAAACTTCGGAAATTTTAATGAAATTTACATTAATAATAATAATAACAACTAAGAGACGATATACGGCATTGGTGAGTAGGGACAACCGACAAATTAAATTGCCGCGAAGCTTCCTCTTCATTCCAAGTCTCTCGTCTCTTTCCTCCTCTTGTTTTTCTTTTTTTCCTTCTCCCCAAAAATCAATTGAAGACAATTCATGTAACTATTATATGATATGATATGATATGATATGATATGATGTGTATATATGGTTGGAACAAATTTTAATTTTAATTTTTGCATAGGTCTCAGGTCTATGATTTAATATCAATGATACAATAAGTTGGAGCATTCTATTCTATATCTCATAACTAGTGTGTTTTATATTTTGTAGCATTTCTATTTTTTTTTTTTTGTAATCGGATTTTATAGAATTCGAATTCTACAAACTTTAGAATAAATATTTTTTTAACGGGTTTTACACATTTCATAATATTCTTATTTTGACATTTGAAACTAGGAAAAAAAATCATAAAGACATGCCAATTGATTAGTTTTTCGTTGATTAATGCATGTACTTAAATTTTGATATTTGAAATTAGAAAACAAAATCATAAAGACATGTTAATTGGTTAGTTTTTCTTGATTAATGCATGAACTTCAATTCTTCTTACAAAACACTTCCAAATAAAATTATAAACTTTTAAAATTTTCATCCATTGAATAAAATATTTTTAATTGTTTGAATCGGACGTGACTAAATAAAAATATGATATGGAAATTTTAAAATTTCTAATGAATACTATATCTTATTTTCATTTAGCAATATAGAATTCCACGTTCGAAATTCCATGATCCATTAATATCACCAATAGTAACATGCCACTCCATTCAAATTTGAATCATTTGTAGTTTTACTTAAAATGGTATCTTAAAAATAACATTTTAATACGAAATAAATTAACCAATCGATTGCTTTCTATAGGATTCGCCATCGACATTATAATTTATAATATCGTTTTATTTTGTATCGTGGAATATTACTTACTTTAAAATATGATTTGCAAATCAAATCTGTATAGTCTACGTATACGTGCAGATATAATTGTTTGAACATAAATTCCAAGCATCCCGGCGAAATAAATATTTATTAAATAAGAGATTCATAATAAACATAAAATCATTCCTTCTATCTCAAAATAATAATAAGTTGGAGATTCAAAACATGTTTTGCAAATTATGAACATGATTTCTTCCATTTTAATTCAGTCGACTGCATTTGAGAAGTTAAAGATTTTGAGAAATTTTTTTAAATAAATATAAAAAATTATAAATAATTTTTAGATTAATGTATAAATTTTAAAATTTTAGTAAAATATTAAAAAAAACTTTTAATAGTTCTAAAAAAGGAAATTTTTCTAAATTTAAATTTTTTTTATAAATATGAAAAAAAATATATTTCTAAAAAGAGAAAATTTTATAAATTTTAACATTTTTAGTAAAATATTAAAAAAAATTATAGTTCCAACAAAGGAACTTTTATAAAAAATTCTAAAAAAACAGCATGTCCAATAAAAATAATGTTAAAAATCATTAATTAAAATTCTTAAATTTTAAAAATATTTTTAGGAATTTTAAATTTCGAATTTATAGTGATTTTGCACAGTTTTATTATATTTTATTTAATTATTATAAAATTACTTTAGAATTATATGCTGCAAAATTGCAAATTATTTGGTACGACACTGAAAATTCTCGTGGACATTAGATGCTGCAGAGATTTGTCAGCATAAAAACAAATACATAATACATACATACTTATATATGTAACGTAAAGCCAATTTTTTTTATTGATAAAATGGTTTTCAAATATATAAACGACAAGAACATGCGCTCTCTCGCACTCCTAAAATCAATTTCTTAATTCTTCCTTCCTCTGTCATAACTCTCTCTCTCTCTCTCTCCCTCTCTCTCTCTCTGCAGAAGGAAGAACACAGAAAGCCATGGCGGGTATGCTTCCCGGCGTCGAGTGTGCGAGACGGCGGAGATTTCACGGCGGCGGGATCGCATCGGAATATTCTCCGTCGTCTGCGGCGGCTGCTGCCGCGGCTCACGGCTGGACTCGGCGACCGGCGTTCTGCCTCTACACCACCAATCACGATACCCACCATCCCTCCATCTCCTTCTCGGTAACAGAAAGAAAATCAAAAAATGGGTTAACGTCAAAATTATTTTTTTCCCGAGAAAAAAATTAAAATCAAAGAATCGTTTTTTTAGCAGAGAAATAATGTACGGAACAAAGCGTACGGAGAGGAGGACGAGAAGCTCGGAGAAGTTGCCAGAGAGGCGAAGGAGAGGCTGGACGGGCGGCTGAGGAACCAACGGAGACCGGAGTTTGGTCGGAGGTGCGATAACGATTTGGTTTTAACACCACCGGCGCATTTTAGTACAACTAAATGCTTCTTCGGCTAAAATGCACATCTTATGCCTCGAATTTTCTTTGGTCTTTTGTGCTGGTGTAAAACACGGATTCCTATTCCAAAACATTTGGAATCGATTCACAATAAGGATATGAATAGAGATGCCGTTGTGGGATTCATAAAAATTTGATATAATTCTTTTTGGTTGTCGGTAAATTAAGCGTAAGTTAGTTAATTCTAAGGGCGTTTTACTATGATGCGCCCTATAGAAGCTTTTAGATATAAAAAATTGTCGGTTTGCCACATGTCAATATCCCTTTGGTTTTAATTTTGTTGAATTTGACTCGTCAAGTATTTGGTGTGCGTATTTTAGCAAAACACATTCTTCCTCGCTACGCCGGGGGAAGCCTCCAGGTTACTTCCGTGTAACACCTAAATCAACGCATGCCATTAGTATCGGTCAAACTCGGTTTATTATAGCAAAGTCTCTTTGATCATGCTAAAATGCGCAGAGTCTAGGAACCTTCCTAGAAACACTAGTTCTTTTTTTTTAAGAAAAATTGACATATGGGTTTTGTTTTTTTGTTCGATATGGTATTTGTAAGTTCAGGCAAAGTGGCAAAGACAGAGTGAGCTCTACGGCGGAGCAAGGGAGGAGCAAGGCGGTCCACGGGGAGCTGCCAACGGAGGTGGTCGGGTCACGGAAGAGC